ATAATAATATAATAATATAATAATATATATATACTATATATATGTATGTATGTATATTATATATATATATATATATATATATGTACATATATACATAAATATATATACATACATACATACTTACATACATACATATACATACCTACATACCTACATACATACATATGCATACATACATACATACATGTTTTAGTGTACATACATACATGTTTTAGTGTACATACATACATACATACATACATACATACATACATACATACATACATAACATACATACATATATCCATACATACATACATATGCATACATACATACATACATGTTTTAGTGTACATACATACATACATACATACATACATACATACATACATACATACATACATACATACATACATACATACATGCATACATGCACACATACATACTTACATGCATGCAAACATACATACATACATACTTACTTACATGCATACGTACATAAATACATACATACATGCATGCCGGAGACACACATGACAATATTAACATGTATTCCATATATTGAAACGGAGGCTTGGGTCCACTTACGCCTGTAGTCGCATACAGCCGCTCGCAGGGCGTCCTCCACAGCGGCAGCCATGTGCTTGCCATCTCTGAATCACAGCAATTGAAAGACAGTGGAGAGTAACGCAGAAGTAATTTAGTTATAGATCAGAGTAAGCTATTAATAGCGGGGAGAGGTAATGCGGCGATGTGAGGCTTGATGTAGACGGTACTAGGTGTAGTAGTAATGTATTTGTTTTTGTCGATATTTGTGCTTGTCATCGCTGGATCACAGTAAATGGCAGGCGGGTGGGCTGAAACGCAGGAGTCAGCTATTTATAGATCAGAGTAAACTATTATTAGCGGGAGGAGTTGTTGGAGCGAGATGAGGCATAATGCAAACATTACTGTGTTAGTAGTAGGTTTCATTTTCTCGATATTTGTTAAAAGTACACACGGTAAGTGAAATGCAATCCAAACATCATAGACACCCTTAAGCCTTAAACCCCTAAAACACATGAATTTCCAAATCTTGACATACCAACAAAAATCATAGCCCACACATGTGGAAAAGGTACTAAAATCTGAACCCTACAACCCCTAAACCCCGTCTCTAGTACATTCATATTCTTCTGCCGGATGCGATTTGCACGGGTGGTTATAGGCAAAATATGTTGACAATGTTTACAATCCACATACCCGCAGACGTATATGTAGGCCCCGTGGCGGTCCATCAGATCCATAATATCGGCGCCATACGCAAGTATGTTATCTTGCACGTATTTGACACTGCAATGGTTTAAGAGAGATATGCGTCAGTTCATCGCACTGATGTTAAAAAGTCTTAATTGTATACTAAAATTCTTTTAAAAAATATGTTAAAGGGTTCGGTGGGAAATGGAAGACTTGATGCCATATGTATGCTGCATCAACTCAATTCGTTGCAGTGCTAACGACCTGGTCTGTATTATGTATATTGCGTTGATGGGGGTGGAGTGATTTTAACGTTAAAAGGTTAAAACTGTCCACCAACCAAACTATTCGATGAAGGGTTGAGCCTGAATGCTAGTACAATCACGTCTAGCGTCCGTCCACGTATATCCCACCATACAATATGTATGTACAAGAAATTTGAAGCACGTGGCTATTTATGTGTACATGTATAGTATGTACATATCTATTTACATTCAGCTGTTCGAATAAATTCAAAATACTTACCTATGTATATGCACATGCGCAATATATACACATACACGTACACCCAGCCATTCGAATAAAATAGAGCATATATCTATTCTGTGCACATTCATAGTATATACACATGAACGTTGTAAAAAGACTTGATTTACCTTGGATTGCATCTGTCGCGCGAGTAGGAGACATTTAATCGCGTTAATGTACCGTTGGTTAGTGCCGCATCCAGTTCTTCTTCGAATATGGCATCTTGCAGTGCATTTCGGCTGCAACGGCATAGAAGCACAATTGTCAACATTTATTGTTGTTTATCATTTGCATTGTGTCGTAATATATTGGCGCTAGGAATAGTTAAAGTAATTTGCGACTGCTAAAGCGTACAGAGACTTGTATGAGATTCACTGCAAATGCTGAAATACTAATTTTACGAGGGGAAAATCCAAAACTTCAAAAACCCCTACTAATCTAATATGGGGAACCCCTAAACCTTAAAACCATACGAACCTAAAATGTAGGAAACCCTAAACCCGGAAACCCTACGAAACAAATGCGGGGAGTAATTCTACACGGCGTGCAGTTGCAACGACACCAGAGAACAGTTTAGCCAGAAACAACCAATTGCAAAACGTTTGGAATGTGGCACATGCCTATGATGTGACACATTTCTATGATACGAGGTACTGACTACAGTATATACGTGTGAGAATCATTCAGCGTTGCATGTTTTGTGCATATACGTATTCGATTATATTTACGTACCCACACGTGCTCTTGATGACACATGCGTATATGCTACATGTCGTTGTTTGCTCTATTGAGTGTCTAATGACAGGGTTGCCTGCACACACTCACCAGCCATAGAACAGCCAGATAAAATTCGGTACCTCCTCGGCTTTTATTCGGTCGTTGAGTTGTCGATGAGCGGGTTCGTGTCGTTGTCGCTGAGCAGCGTTACCTGTGAATTTAAAACATTGGTTTGAATTAACTACAACTAACCTGTACGTCACGTACTGAGGAACACTATTGTGAAACGACAGTACAGATATACTTCATCCAAAACGGATTATAACATACTACGTGGGAAACAGAAATACTCGCACACGGATATAGATTACAACCACACACTACAAGCGTGAAGCACAGGCACATACTACGTTTAAACAGAACACCATAACACCATTAGCAACATACCCAGTTGACGGGTGTGGTTGTGCTGTGTGGCCTTTGCAGTTCCTGCAGATGCCGAAGAGCCGAAGTAGGAATACAGTGAATCAGTGGAATCTTAATATACACGGTATGAGAGCACAAATTAAAAAGCTATCAAACTATGGAGTCCACACCCCTGGAGTATAAAAATTATGAAAAGGCTTACCGTAAAGATACTCAAAAACATAAACATTACGTGACCGTTTGTTTAGTTTACACCATA